CTCCAGAAATTTTAATTCTACATTTCAACAATATTGTATTAATATTACTATTTAAAAAAAAATGAGGCAATAAAACAGTTGCTGCAAGACCGTAGTTTCACTGTTAGATCATGCGAATCGTAAGAAAATTTTTTTATTCTTGAATAACTTTTTTATTAGGGACAAATTTTAATTACTTGCGAAATTAGAGAAAAGATGTAATTTTTTTTAAACTTGATCTTAAAAATAAAAAAAAATTCATTGTGAAAAAAACATTTTTTCTCTGTCATATTTGATTTTTTTATTATTGTACTTTCTCAAAAAATTATGAAGTATTTTTTAAAAAATTATAGAAAAAACCGGAAGAAAATTAAGCCCGTTGCGGAAAGAAAAGTTTTTTACAAATGACAATGTCCGTACTAATTAGAAACGGTCTAAAAATTTAACAATTCCTCCTTTCTCTTAAATTAAGTAAAAAGTACTCGACATGTTGATTCATAAAACTAACTCCTATAATAATAATAATAAAAATAAAAAATAATTTTATTACAAAGCTCATTTTACTGCGGTAATAAAACATTTAATTAAAGTAAGGCTATCGTTTTAATTAATATACTCGCTTTGGAATATTTTAAAATTTAGTTTTGTCACTTAGTGTATTAATTATGTGATTGTTATTTGAAATAAAATGCTGCAAAGACATTAATAAATTACAATTCCATACAGACATATTTATTTTATTCTTAAAAAGTTATTATTAAATCATGTGTACAATTTAGAAAATTAAAAATCTTTTACTTTATTTAAATTTTTTATTTCAACAATTTTTCTTTTTAATTTAAGACAATAAAATTCTTTAAATAATTATTTTAGTTGAAGATTTTTTTTCCTTGTCAGTTAATTTTTTTATCAGTGTAAAAACCTCAAACGTATTTGCATCTAATGTTTTACTCCATTATAGTGAACTTTAAACACATATTAAGGAAACTCAATTACCCTGTAACTTTTCCCAAGTACGGAAAAATCCCAATTTTCACTTAAATTACTGCCTAAAAAAAAATAAAAAATTTTCCAAAAATGATTACATTAATATTATTACAATTCTTCCATCTAAAATAGTGAAAAAAATCAGGTCAATAAATGAAATAAAAACTATGGCATTAATTCACCATGGCCGCATCAAACATTTGCTTACCCAGTAATTAGAAATTTTTTATATTCTCCATTATTAGTTGCAATGCTCAGTGACGTTGTAAATTGAACTCCCAACAAGTAAAAAAGCGTGACATTGGCAGGATAAAGAAGGATAAATAACATTTAAAATTTATGAGGGCTACGAAAATGTGGGACAAGGATCGTCTGTAATTATCAAATCCGAAGTTGGTAACGTCAATACCAATGATAAAATAGATAGTACGCTACACTAGGTATTAATGTGCGAGCACACACATGGAATAAAGTATGATATATTACGGAACACACACACACACAAGAGTTGATTTAAGTGTGGAGCGAAATCGGAGAGAGATAGCGGTGATGTGTTGGAAGTAAACGTATTGTTGTTGGTCGCACCCTGAGCAAATCAGTGTGTGTTATTAATGCAAGTGTGTATGTGTGTAGTCCAGTGAAATCATGAACCCATTATTCCATGAAGCTCGAGTTGCATCAGTGGGCCTCTATACACTTCTGGACTACACACTGGCTGGCTGTATTCTGTATATAATGTCTAATATCTAATGCCAGCTCTATTCGCCGGGGCAATATATATATGGGGCTCAATAGTGGACGGATAGAAATAGAAGAAAAAATCTTCTGTATATATGATGGATGATGGCTGCAGGACGAAGAGGGAGGCAATGTATAGAGAGTGATAAAACTAGGTATTAGTATGAATACAGATAGCCAGAGAAGTACCTAGAGTCCAATTATCCAATGACAGAATACGCTATACGGCCTTGCCTCGCCTTTTCGAACAATCGCGTTCTATTATAACTCAACACAAAACTCTCAGACTTTTTGTTATTAACAATTTTATACTTAAGAACATGTAGTACAGTCTGGTGGTGGTAATTCAGTCTGGAGTACACAAGAGAATTAATATATGAAATTTTTTGTTGATAATTAGTTTTCTACCCCAACCTAGCTGCGTTTTAACAATTCTGTCTTATAAGTCATCTAAAATAAAATAAAGGAGAACCAAAAAAATTACTTGGTCAAAAAGCGTTCCAGTATCTTGTTCAAAATTTAAATATTCTCCGTCGTACATGTTCTTAAGCTCGAACCTCATTTTTTTTTATAATTGTAAGTTTTTTTATTTTATTGTCATCATTTTAATTGTTTGAAGAACAATCTGGTTAATGATAATGTTTTTTTTTTGATAGCGATAAGTTTGTTTGCGATATTCAACGTAAATCAGTTTTTTAACCAGGCTTTAGATGATCTTGAATTTTTTACTGCTAAATTTTTAATTGAATACTTTTTTTAAAAGATTTAATGTGATGGAATTGGTCATTTTAATGGAAAAAATATATATTCTAAGCATATAAAAATTTTTTTATCCATGAAAATTATATTTATTTTCATAAATAAAAGGATCTATTCAACATATCGCTTTAAGAATTTTTATTTTGTTGAAATTAAAAATTGTTCTATTTTAGCAATTTGCATTATAAAAAAGACCATTCGGCAGTCGAAATGGAAGTAGATTTCATCATAAGTAGAAAAAAATAATGGATTTTTAGTACACCGGCGATTAAAAGCTTATTTCACCCTAACTCCGTTATTTGTTTACTTACTGCTGGTGTACAGTAAAGAAAAAAAAACAAAAAAAACGACTGCAATAGCAAATTTCATAATTGGCATAGCGGAATAGGACATAATTTTGGGACTACACATATGATATGGTACTCAAATTGAAGCTTATTTAAAGAGCTTTCATATGCAATTTACAGAAATTCAATAAATTATCCCATTCAAAAGTTATTTAAGTACGAAAATGAAGAAATGGAAATTTTTATGATTTTTCATGATTTTGAAAATTTTGAAATCATGGCATTTCTAAATTACTTGACCGATTAAGCTCATCTTCGAACTTGACCTCGGTATCTATCTGTGGAATAAGTATGTTGAGTTTGATAAAGATCCATAGTAAATTGGCGACGCTATCGTGGTGACAAGCCGCGTACTATATTCTATATACATACATACATATATAAACTTTTGAACCATATGTATTTTCTGACTCAACTCGTCGAGTTAAGTCGGAATATAACAAAATTTTTCAAAAGTTTCGTCATGAGGACTATTGCAATAGTTAGATTTCTATGAAATCTACTAAAAGCACTAAATTTAATTTGTTAAAAGAGCAGAAAATAAATAAAATAAATAAGTTACTTTTTTGTTAATTTTCTAAGATTAGTATTAAATTTAGCTTGAAAGCTAATGGGTGTCTTGTATGTAATTACATGAAAGTACGAGGTAATTATTATCTTAAGCTCAGTAGACAAAGCGCCGACCACATGTTATGTTTGTGTTGGTTATTATAGAGTAATCTACTAGGAATACACAGCAACAAAACGCCGCTCGGTTTAATTTATGTCAACAGTTATCTCCAAATTCCGGAGTAGGCACTTGTTTGCTCTTAATAGTCTCATATATAATTTAATATAATATATAACAGATAATATCAAATCCAATTAATTTTCAGATCGTGATAAAAAAGGTTTTATTTGACAAAAGTTTTAATGAAACTTTTACGATTGAATTATCAACGTTACTAATTAGTAATTACTAATTTAATTACTAATTAAATCTTACTGCCGGTTAATAATTACTTTGGTAATTAGAAAATATTCGGGGCGCTGAATCAATACCTTTATATTTACATTAGCAATTAGATAATTGCTGTGATTTGAGATTCAAAGTATTTTTTTAAATAAATATTTTATTTAATTTAATTATTAATATACACATCATCAATTTATTTTATTATATCTTTAGACAGCTGTCAGATGTGATTAAAATGTCATTGCATACATGGATATTGAGATTGAAATAATTTGTAAGAGCTCGTTTCAAAAATTAGCTTGACAAAAAAATTTTTACGGGTCGGAAAAAATTTTTCCAATTTTTGAGAATCGTTAAAAATTAAATTTTCTTGCTTTTTATTTTTTTTATCTTGTTAGTAATTATGCCTGTCAATTTTGAGTCATAATTTTGATCTCTAAAAGTTGTTCAAGAATTTTTGATCTTTAAAAAATAAATGTTTGATTATTAAAATAAAAATAATAATTTGCTTTATTTTTTTGCTTTTTTTGCTCAGACTGTAATTTTTTTGAAAGAAAAATTCACCCAAAAAAATTTTGAACACTCAATTATTAAAATTGAATTATTGTCGAAGGCTTAAAAATGAAAAAGTGTGATGAAATATATAAACGATGAGTTTTTATAAAAACCGTACCAAAAAAAAATTTAATTTATTCTGAAATTCTGATTTTGAAATAAATATAATTTAATATTAGTTTTTCATACAATCACTTTAATTTTTCCAAAAAATTATCTAGGTACATAGTCAACGTTTCAGAAAATGTAGAAAAAAAAATTTCATATAAAGAAAAAAAAAAATTCAGATTTATTATAAAATTATATATATATAAATGTGTCAAAATTTGACTTAATATGAAATTTATAATGAACAAAAATTTTTTTGTATAAAAAATTGGTATGAAAAAAACAATAATTATTTTTTTATATCTTTATAAGTTATTCAATTTTTTTTTTTTTTTCATAAAAAAATCCGCATAAAAATCAAATCTCCACAACTGTAATTTTATACTTTGACCGGACGCCCAAAAAAAAAAAAAAAAAAAAAATGACATTCTATAAAAAAAAAAGCCATAAAATTGATGCGACAAAGTGCAATGTAATTTTCTGTGGTAAAAAAAAAATTATATATATATACAGACGTATAGATTGTCACCTTCCGTTGCTAACGGTCTTCTCGCCTCGTTTAGTGGCAAGAAATGCACGACAGAGAACTTACAAGTTAGTAGAGCAGACTCTTGGAGAGTTCCGTGAACATCTTGTGACATAAATATTTTATCATATTTATTTGCCTCGGTACATAAATTGATAAAATAACTCCCTGAGTCTGTGAATTTTTAATAAATTAATTCAATATAATTTTAATTAAAGATTAAGATTGAATTCAATAAATATTAGCAGAGGCAAATAGCGACTAACTAATGGTTAATTTACATTTGATTACTCTGGCATAGGAATTAAAGCACAGTTCTATATTCATTGTTGAGTAGTCATATAGTCGAGAGTCTTACGCTAATGCTAATGCCAATGCTAATTCATAAGCTCTGTTATCTACATCTACAGATGTATGTATATTCTAATCACAATGTTACTGTGCGGCGCAAATTATTCTCATAGTAAATAATAAATCAATTCTTGTTTTTTATTTACATTTTAATTATTTTCCTTTAAAGCCTATCCGGTCTTATGTTTATTGAATAAAGACAATTTTATTTTATTTAAGAATTTATCGTCTTAATTCAATTTAATTTTTTTGTGTCTTTTTGTAATAATAGACACAATATATGTTGGGAAAACCAGGTCAAAATAGTGTAACGAATAATAAATGAAAGCTTAGTTAAACGAGAAATAATAGAGTCACATTTATAATACGCGAATGAAACCGATAAATAGTTAAGATACTTATCTGCCACTTCTATTTTAACTTTGTGGTTTGCACTATTTTTTTTTTTTTTTATTACTTTTATGTCACAGTCTTTTTTATTCATTTGTTATTATTATCGATATCTTTAAAACTATAGGGTAATTATATTATGAAGTAAACTTTTTCCAAAAAAAAACTTCATTCATGCTTATTAAATAAATAAAATTTAATTTATTACAATAAATATTTAGAGATAATTAAGAAATGACCCTGTATCTCGTGAACTATTGACATTTTTAAAGATATAAGCTCATCCCGATGTTACACTCATCGAGACCTTTCATTTGAGTACCCACATGCATTTTTGATATATTTATATATATTATATATATGTATATATGAAAAATATATAAAAATGCAAGTGGGTACTCAAATGAAAGCTCTTGATGAGTGTAACATCAAGATGAGCTTATATCTTTAAAAATGTCAATAGTTAAAAAAGTACAGTGCAATTTAATAGAAGTCATTATTTAATAAAGCAAAATTTTATTTATTTATAGTCACATAGTGACTGCAAGGTTGCTAGTAATTTTATTATTATTATTATTAAATCGTTTTTTTCAAACAAAAAAAAAAGTAGATCAAAGAATTAACAATATTCTATGTTTATATAAATATAAAGTAATGTAAAATTGCCGGATGTGTCACGGTGACTTAAACTTATATTTACATCTGAATAGATGCACTCACTTGTTCTATCCATTTCCCCTAACTTTTCACTAAATTCCCTTTTTTTATCTTCTCCATCTTCATTTCTCATTTTTCACTTTTATCTTTTATCTTTCCTCTTTACAACGCTTAAATCCAGTACATGTATAAACTTCCATTACGATTTAAACACTTTGCGACGATATGAATGAGGTCGTCTATTCAGAGATTTCAAATAAGTAGTAGGCACTCTATTTTTTTCTATTTTTCCGGCATTTATTTATAAATGAAATACTAAGGCCTTTTATTCCAGGTCTATTTGACTTTATTCAAAGTCATGCCCTGCAATTAATTTTTATTATTATTAATACAGCGATCGTTAATTAGTTTTTTTCTTGTTAATGTTTTAGAATTTATGGAGTAATCCAAAGGACGCTGAAATGACACACAGAATTAATGCCAGCTTAACAATATGGACTGGTAATTTTTTATTTTTATCTAAATTAGATGTATTAGTTAGATTAATTAGAAATATATTTCAATGAAAAGGAATTAATTGTACCAAGAAGGTCTTGAAAGAAGTTTATGAAAAAATTTTATTAATTTGAATTTTAATAAAATTGTCCTCCATAAAATAACCTTCTTATATTTTTTTTATAAATATTTTTTATTTTTTTGAAAATCATATTTACTAAATTCGTCCCTTAAATTTTATAAAATAATTTTTTACTAACATGACATTTAATTAAAATTTAAATTGCAATTTTTCTTAAAAAAAAAAAAAATCTCAGTAAAATAAAATTGAGAGGCGAAAATTTATATTAAGCGTCACCTGCTAAAAATTTTTATATCATACATAAAAAGTAAATCTCTCTAAGATTCAATTTAAAAGTACACGTATTTTTTTTATTATGAAAAAATTAAATTTAAAAAAAATGTAATATAGTTATAACAAAGCTAATCAAAATACGTCCCGTTATTCGTTCATCTCATCTTATTTAAATTACGAGAAAAAAAAATAAATAAAAGGAAAAAATTAAAATGCTGATAAAGATAAAATAAAAGAAGTAAAGTAGACGGTCAACTTTAAGTACTCAATGGCTCACTGAAGTAAGAGTACAAAGTACTGTTAGACTTTATGCACTTAAAACTATGTTCGTTCAGAAACTTTGAACATTCACGGTGCTTAAACATTGTAAATAATTTTAAAACATTAACATTAACACTTACATTTTTCGAGTAATTAATGAGAAGCTCATTAGTAATATAATACGTTCTGATAATTATTATTGATAATTAATTATAATTTACGTGCCTTGATAACTTCACAATTAACAATGACAATAAAAATTGTTCTCAGAAGCTAATTAATAATCGTCATCGTCATATCAATGAATATTTTTTTGCTGCTTAATAAAAAAATAAAGATTAAGCACGTTGCTCCTTGAATCGTGTAATTCACTCAGAAGAATTTATAAAGTCACGGAGGGTCTGAGAATTGATTTACATGAAAGAAATTAGGGGAGCAAAAGTCAGTTTCAGTTAATTATTTATACAATGTTTCTCTATTTAGAGATTTTTTATTCTGGTGTTAAAAATTTTGCGTCATTGTGTGTCGAGAAAAGTTTGAGCTAAATTTAAATATTTAACATTTTGGTATGCAAATTTGACAATGCCTTTGTATTGATATTCAACATTTTACTCATGTGGTTGGTTGCGTTTAAATTTGTAGAAGTTTTGAATTGAGATGAAATTTAATGTAAATTTTCTGACGTATTTAACATGTAATGGGTTTGTCATACTTTTTCGCATGTAAATTAATGTATTTTTTTAATGAAAAAAAAACTGTTTGTAATAAAAAATAGTTATAAAAATAAAAAATTAAATTAAATGCTTGAAAAAACTAACAATTAGGCCGTATTTTATGATAGTGGATAATTTCGGTCTACTTCACCATAATTAAATATTTTTTAATTACTTTGACATTAAAACATGACTATTGATTCAATAAAATTTATAAAAAAACAAACAGACATCATCTATTTAGTCATAATTATTAGCTATAAAACTTATTAATTGTTTATTTAATTAATATTTCTCAATGTTCCAGGCATACTATTGTTGCTATCAGCAACAAAGTCCCAATCCGAAACAACAGTGTCGATAGCACCCGAAGGTACCCGAGCGACGACAACAAAGGATTATAAATCATCATCACCAGGAAACAGCACAACAATCTTACGTAAAACATTAGCTGATCAAGAAGTCGACGTGCTTGCGCATTTGCCAGCCTTGAAAAATGATAGAGAACGTGAAACACCTTTCTATTCCAAGCTCACTACCGAGCCCAGTCTCGATCCACGTGACACACAACTCAGCCAAAGAAAACTCAACTATAAGGAGAAGCATTCAGCTCTAACAAGCAACAACCATGACACGAACATTAGCAGCAATAAAACGACAAAGTTGCTAAAAATTGACCTGCTAAAGACTGAAAAAGCTAGTAGTTCCGACAATCAATCAAAGAAGCACTTTTTTGAGCAGCTTATTGCGCCCAACGGTCACAAAATCGTCGACTTGAACGGCCATGAATTGGCAGAGTTCAATCTTGAAGGAAATGAGAGCGAGGAAGGCGATTTTGATGAGTCAGAGTCTAGAGAGGCAACCACACCTAAGATCGGCGTGATTTCGCTGGCCAATGACACCCAAGTGAATTTCAAGGGCCACAAAAAAGAAATCCACGAAGACGCGGTTCTGATCAAGGGTCACAAGTTGATCAAAAATCCGGTGGAGAAACTCAAGACTTTCGATAAATTCGACCAAATTGAGGGTCTAAATGCTTCTGCGGCGTTGGGGTCCAATATTGGCGAGCCAGAGCGAATTCAAGAGCAGAAATTGCCCTCAGAGTTAATAGAGCCGGAGATTGGAGATAACAAGACGGAAAAAGTTGAGAGTAACGGCAAGAGTGAACATTTTGGAGAAAATGAAAATGAGGAAGGTGAAAATGACAATGAAGAAAGCTTGGAGAAGAGTGAGGACCTGGGTGAAGAAGAGAAAGACACTGAAGGCAAAGTGAACGGAAATGGTGATGGTTTGGAGAGAATTGTTGAAGAAAAAGAACCGAATAGCAACGAAAAAGACTTAACTCCGAAAGCCCGGACGATATCATTCGGCGGTGGCAATCGGTTCAGTAGTACAGAAGAGAAAGCTACTGGGTTTGCTAAAGAAAACGGTGATGTCAATTTAACAAAAGACTTTAAACCGTATCCGTATTTTAAAACACCTACTGTTGTGGTTAATCTAAATGCAAGTGAGAATATTGATGTTAATGTTAATGCAATTGAGAAAAAAAAATCAGGTGTTTTTAACAAAGAAACCGACGAAATTTACACCTACGAAAATACGATAAACAAAAGCAAAGATGAGAAGAATTATTTGGTTACCGAGTCGTCGGTAGTTATTGACAATAGCATTCAGACGAAGCGGGTTAATTTAAAGCGGTCGAGTAATGCCACTAAATTATTGACCGATTCGTCAATATTGTCGCCATCCTCCTCCTCTTTGTCGTCTGTTACGGTCAAATCAATTGCTGAACCAGTTAACAATACGCATGTTGATGTTGACGTTAGTGATAATGACAAACTTAATCTTAATCTTAATCTTAATCTTAGCGATAATTTGAAGATAAAAGACAATGTTAATGACATTCCGCGTAATCCTGGGGAAGTAGTAGAACGTAAAGGCACGGTTGATCTGGCCAGTAACGGTCTTACTGGTGAGAACATTGAAAAAAACTCAACAGACAGGGAATTGGTGACGAGTGAAAGGCCAATTATTGAGGCAAACATCAATCAGAGCAGCGTTGAAACGCAATTAACTGATGAAATTCTTCGGGTTAATATTACGGAATTAAATGAAACTGCGACGATGAGTCCAACAACAACTTTGACAACTTTAACAACAACAACAACAATAACAACAACTCCGATAATGACATCTACAACAACAACAAGTTATGAAAAACCCGTGGAAACAATGAATTTAAATTCATCTTCCATAAAGCCCCCGGGCGTTCAATTAATTTCAACTTCTCCGGCAGCGACGAGCTCTGACGTCGACGAGGAGGAGGTAACAACTTCCGGCGTCACGGCAAATAAATTGGAAATAACGAGTAGTCCTATAACGGAGGAAACAACTTTATCACCGGAGAATATGACATCTCCTGAAAACTTTTCGAAGACACTGACGTTTAATTCTACGGTTAGTTCTATTGATTTTCCAGAAATTACAACCGCTGCAGTGGAATACGAGTTTGTGGGGCTTAATGAATCTACTTCGGCGCCTTTTGATACCACCAGTGGCGATGCTGATGGTGATAGAAATGTTTCGACAACTTTGGCCCCCAAATTGTCCAGTGTCTCTTCCGAAAGTCCTGACGAGGAAATTACGACCATTGAAACTGTTACGGGAAATGAATTGCTGACGACTACGGAGACTAATAATAATCTGACGGACACTACTGCTAGTTACATAACTACTGCTAAAGATGCTGCTGATGAAACAACGATTAGTTCGGAGGTTGAAGCTACGACCGTTGAAGTTACGAAAGAAATTAACGGCAATGAAACTAATGATCTGTCGTCGACGGAATCCATACCAATTACTGAAGTAATTAGCAGCAGTGGGGCTAGTAGTAGCAGTATTGTCACGACGAACTCCGTGGAAACGACAGCGGATGAATTGAACACTATACCGTCGGTAACGCCGACGTTCAACCCATTGAACGTGACAAGTTCAACGGAATCAAATATTGATAAGATGACGAGCAAAATAGAGAGTAGCACTGTTGCCACGAGTGTTGAAGATGATGTTACTGAAAGCACCGTCAGAGTTGTCACTGAGGATGACGTTCAACGGTTCACTCCTGGAGATGTCACGTTGCTTGTTAGGATTGTTGTTGAGGGCACTTGGACTGATATTTGTCCACATTTGCCTGCACTCAAACAGTCACTGGCTAATTTGCTCGCCACTGGAATGGATAAGTTAGTTTATTTTGTTTGGTATCGAATTTTGCGCTGAAAAATTTTACGATATAGATTTTTATTGTAATTTTCTAATGTAGAGTAATTTTTATCGTAGTATTATTTACGGTTTACAGAAATGTGTCGGCAAGCCAAATTATTTTTCAAAAGAACCCCTGCGATGAAGTCGTAGGGAAGAACATGGGGATGGAATTGATTTTGTCGACGATTATCCTGTACGTGATTGATGAGAACGGAAACTTCGATGCGGCTATGACGCAAAATTTGCCGAATTTGTACAGCCAGGCGCCCTTTGAATCACGTCTGACGGTAGGTTCATTTTTTAGGGAAAATTTATTACTTATAGCATAAGTTATAGGACGAGAAAATTCTTTGATAGAAATCGTTGACGTAACTGTTAATTTTTGTAGTATATATTACAACTTTTAATTTTAGTAATTGAAGAAAGTGAGAATTTATGAATTATAGTACTATTTTTAGTTCGTGAATCAATAGAGATTTGTGATTTACTTTGTAAATATTATAATATAGACTTGATTTATGAGGACTTGTGATATAATAATAGATGGCACTTAAGTAAGTAGACCAGAACTAAAGTCTGGACACTTTGAGTAGTAGTTTTAGATACTTTGGAAACTTTCGATTTATTATCAGGAAACAAATGTTTTCATTTTTTTTTTTTAAGAAAGTATAATTTTTTATACTAGATATTTTTTTTTAGTTCATTTTATTTTTTTTTTTTTTTAAATAATCGACTTTTCCCGAAATTTTTAATTGCAAAAGAAAACTATTTTATACAATGGAACTCTAATAATAGTTATACAGAGAGTGTTTTCATTGAATTTCCGTGCTGGATGTTTTGTTAGTAAAAAAAAAAATTCGAATGTTTTTATAGCATAGTTTCAACTAACCTTCGACATTCTCTTCTTTTGTTGAATAAAACTAAAATTATTCGTTTTTATAAATACTTTATCGTTAAAAAGTATAAGAAAAAATAAAGTAAAAAAAAATACTAGATTTAATACTTTTCTACATTAAAGCCTAACGAATGTACGGCTTATCAGATTATGAACTTTTTTGTCTTCTTAGAAGTTATATTAAACAATAAAAATAACTTTTTTTATAAAAAACTAAAAAATGAATCTTATATTTTTTTTGAATAAATTAATTAATTTTACATATTATGCAGATTCGTAGTTTTCAATTAGTGCAAGACGGAGATTCTGGAAATGCCATTGCCGTAATAGTGGTTTCCTGTGTGGCTTTTGTGTGCCTGGTTCTTTTAGCCAGCTTACTCGTGAGTATATATGTATATGTATAATAAAAAATATAATTTTTACTTTTTACCCTCATTTAATAATGGTATTTAAGTTATTAATTCAACAAAACACCAGCCATTACCTGACACAAATTGTTAAAGTAAAATTTAATTCCTCAAAGACTATTTGAAGTATGAAAAAAAAAAAATCCACAACTTTTTGTTCTCTTCAAAGGGAACCAGACCTTTGATTAAAAGTTTCACATGAAATCCTATCGCATTATAAAAGTTGCGGAGGTGAAAAAGTTTTAAAAAGACTCTTTTACCTCTAATGGAATATATACGATTAGCATCGACATTCACGTGAAAAAGAATTGAAAATTCCCTTTTGATCTTCCATATGTGATATTTGTACTTTTTAAAAAGAATTTATAACGAGTGTTAGGAGCTTTAATTATTAATGTTTCAGTTTATCATGAGAAAACGTCAAACGAGATTCAATTACGGCGAAAGATGTCGCCCGGTCTCTTTAGACGCTTACAGTTTGGACAGCGTTTCAGCTTATAATAGTGTCAGGCGCAAGGGAGCAAGAGCTTCTAAACGTAGTTATGGAAACCCTACTTTTGAAGATTCTGTAAGAATTATTTCCTTTTTTTTTTTTTTAATTATTTTAGGCTTAAGAAATAAAATACTAATTTTAAAAAAATTGAGATCCAAATTTTTTTTAATATTAAAATTTATTTTTTACATAAAAGATAAAAACAAAGTTATAGTTGACGAGATAGCAATGTCAGTTCTTAATTATTGATATTTTTAAATATATAAGCTCATCCCGATGTTACACTCATCAAGAGCTTTCATTTGAGTACCCACATGCATTTTTATATATTTTTCATATATATACATATATACAATATATATAAATATATAAAATATATGGAAAAAATGATGTGGATACTCAAATGAAAGGTCTTGATGTGTGTAACATCGGGATGAGCTTATATTTTTAAAAATGTAAATAGTTAGCGAGATACAGGGTAATTTCTTAATTGAGTATTTAGAGATTGAACATTTTCGAATGCAGCCTAAATACTTATCAAAATTTTTCCAACGATACCAAATTTAATGATAAAAACCCATTTTATCATATAAATCCACTGATCACAAAATTTTCCTTATTCTCTTAATAATATATATAATTTAAAAAATTTTTTAGACGGTGATTCCATCACATCCATTAAATTTTGCCGTGCTCTCGGTATTCTGTAATGAACAAAATGCAATATACGAGGAGTTCACAAGCATACCGCAGGTTTCAGCACGTATAGACGAATTACCACCTGGTGCGGAAGTTAAAAATAGATACGCAAATGTCGTGCCTCTACCGGAGACACGTGTGTCACTCATGAAGAGCAACAATGATCCTCTGAGTGAATACATAAATGCGAGTTACGTCCGTGGGCCCAAAAACGCTACCAAGTATTACATTGCGTGCCAGGCGCCGATGGAGTCCACGGTCACTGATTTTTGGCGAATGATTTGGGAGCAGCAGTCCAAGGTGATAATAATGCTGACGGATCTCATCGAGAACGGGGTGGAAAAATGTTCCGAGTATATTCCGCCCTCAGAAGTTACCGATTGCCATCGTCTTTACGGGGACTATCAAGTGACGTTGAAAAAACGCGAGACCAAAGAGAAATACGCTATTTCCACGATACATTTGAAGGTACTATTTTTTTTTCTCCGTTAAACAAACGGTACTTATCATCATTTTATTCATGAGACAGTTAAATTGTTTTTTAACGTTGTTAATATTTTTGTTTTAAGCTAACAAGCTAATTTAGTAACTAATAATTGTTAAGGAAATTTCGAGTGTCATTGTACAATTAAAAAATTATCCAGTAAAATTGTCCATTAAACTAACACTTGGTAATTAAAAAAACTCACATAATTAATGATAAACATGAAGAGGATACTTGCCATTATAGATAATAGGAGTTCTCATGGTGCATTTATAATTAATTACGTTATGCTGCCTGAGAATAATTCCCTACTGGTATTTAATTATCAACTATCACTTTTAATATGAATAATTTTTATTCATTTCACATTCCAGGCGATCGTTTTTATTAACGCGCTTTTTAAATACTTCTATTTAATGGTATTAAGATCATAATTATGATTTTATTTATAATACTTCTTGGGAATCTATTTAATACTTGTTTTAATTATTATTATTTATTAATTTCATTATATAATTATTACTAGACTATATGACTGCGGGGAATTTATTATTTATCGGTACTTTTAATATATTGAAAAAATAAATTTTCAAAAAATTTAAACTATTTTATGAATGAAGATTTGTGTAACGTAAATGATTTATGACTCTGTTTCAGAATTTGGAGAACAATACTTATCGGGAAGTATTCCACATTTGGTATTTATGGCCCGCGAATGGCGTACAAACAGATGCGGCTGGACTGATAGCAATTTTGCTAGAAGCACGGGCTTTGCAAAGAGGCGGTCCTGGACCTATTGTTGTGCATTGCAGTCCGGGAACCGGCAGAACTGGTACTCTCATTGCTCTAGATTTGGGTATCAGGCAATACGAAATAACGAGAACTGTCGATGTCCCCCGCGTTGTTTATACAATACGTCGGGATCGAGCTGGCGCTGTGCAAACTAAAGAACAATACGCTTTTATTTACAAAGTAATTAATTAATTATTAATTATTAATTATTAATTAACTGTTAATTATATACTTTTACATTTTATTATTTTTTAGGCATTGAATTTATACGCCACAAAACTAGCAGGAGGAGGTTTAGAATCAACTTGATGACAACAGCAATTTTATTTTATAAAAAATAATCTACCTGCGCCAAGAAGCCACGATCTAAGTCAATAAGTTATTAATAATCAATCAATTATTAAATATATAAAAGTGATTATTAATTTATTAATAACAATAATGAATAAAAATCCATTCTATCGGTAAATATTAAAAAGAAAAAAGATACATCTTATTTATTTTGTAAAGTAAAAAGGGTATGTATGATCTTTTTAATTGAGGAACACTATTTATATTTTATGTGACATCGCGCAATGCCAAATTAGTTAATAAAATTAATATACACGCGTATCGAGTGTCCGTAAGATGAAAATTGATATTATATATCTACAAAATATTTTACACTTGCAAAAAAAAAATATTGTAACAACAATCATAAATATTTGACGATTAAATTTATGAAAACAAAAGTAATTAATTAATTCAATGACTTTTTTATAAAGTAGAAAAAAAGTGAGATTTACAAACAATTTTTTAATTGTTTCAATTATTTTTTTAAATTAGAGATTTATTAGGAAAAATTTTTGTATTTATTTGACCAATTGATTGCGATTTAGGTGAAAAATTAGTAAACTGTTTGAGTGTTTGCGATACAATTAGATGTATAATTTTTAAGACCAACTGCCTATTTTATAATCACAGCAGACACTTGAACAGTAATAATAATAATAATAATAATAATAACTCTGATAGTTCTTCCTAATTAAAAAAAAAAATTCTAGCGATTTTATAAGTAACGATAATACTCGTTATATTTTATTGTTATTATTAATTATGGTTATAATTAATTTTTTAGTTAGTAATATTTTGTGACTCTCTATTTTTTTATGTAAATATTTTAATCAAGGCCGTATTAATAATAGTACTATTTTTTTGTCCCGTTAAAAAAAATTTTTTATAATAATAAAAGTATTAATTGGCTTTTATCGTAGTCGGCTTAAATTCTAGTTGCTGAATAATTGTGGTTTAATTTAACCAGTTTTTATTTAACGATTTTTAGAAAATAAATTTTTTAAATTAATTAATTAGTCCAAATTCGAGCAAAAAGTAATTTTTTAATGAAATTATTTTTAGCTTAATTCAATAAATGAAATTTTTTTTAGCTTAATTCAATAAAAATTTTTTTTTTTTTTTATTAATATTTAAACAAAAAAAAATATAAGATAAATTTTTTTAAAAGTTAAAAAAAAATTAAAATAGAAAAAATAAAGAGATTAAAAAATTTCTCGAATTCAATTAAAAATTTTTTAAGCCGAGGCGATATTTATAGAATAAAAAAATAAATTTATGTTTCTAATAGAATTACAATAAAAAGATAAAATATTTGAATTAATTTAAAAGTTACCGACTAAGATTGAACTGTATGTTAAATATTGATCGATTAAAATGTTTGAAGAGCATTAACTTTAGTTATCTTGTTAAACTAGAAGAAGTATTTTATAAATGCCTATTAATGTTACAGTGCATTAGAATTAATGTATACTCAATAGCAATTTTGTTTTTTTATAACGACTATTTATACAAATTGAACGTCGTCAGTATTGAATTACAATAAATATATAATATTATATTTATTATTCCAATTGTCAAATTGTATCTTTATGTATTATATTATATGAATTATTAATTATTAGGAAGTTATTTGTAGGATACGAACAATGAATATATATTTTTTTTAACATTGTATTATTTATAAATTGATAAATATTAATGGATTACAAGTGAAGACACCTTTGCCAAAATATTTAAGGATGTAGGATTAAAATTACAATAATTATTGTAGCCATAAATATGTAATTATAATTATTCAGAATATTTGTAAATCATCTAATGAGATGATCTGATCAAGATGTATATTTATGTATATATTCATTAAATAAATAAATAAATTTTAATTTAAATACATAGCAAAAAAAACCATATCTATCGATTGAAAAAAATTCCGTGGGTTTAAAAGAGCTACACTTAAAAAAATTATTTTATAAATTATAATAGTATTTTTATTAATTACGTATGATAAGATGCAATTACTATTATTGAGAAAATATTTTCTACTTGGGCAAGAAATTTTTTGCATGAAATAATATTCAAAACTTTTTTTGATTTTTGAAATCATAAATGTAATTTTTAATATTATTTAAGTACCCGAGAAAAAATATTTATATATAATTATATATATTTATTAAAATTTATATATATTTATATATATAAATTGGTTATATATGATTATATATGAAAAATGGCCAAATATAATCATATCTAATTAATTAATTGATTAATTACATCTAATTAATTATTGGGTTAATTTTATGGATAGAGTATTTAATATGGTACTACGCAATTCTCTGTAACCAATTAAAATGCAAAAAAAAAAATATCTAGACATAATTTTACGGCTATAACACCAGCGGTCACCCATCCAACTATTAACCCTGCTCAATACTGCTTAGCTTTGGTGGTCTCCGTGCGTCAAATTAGTTATTTATGTACCTTGGGCGAGTCACGCACCAATACGGTCGAGTTGATAAGTATTTTCAGCAGGGATATAGTATAAAGCTGAGGCCCGATAGGGCCGAGGCTTTATATCCCTGCTGCAAATAATTATCGCCGAGACCGTATTTGCGAGAGGCTTGCCCATGGTGCTTAAAAAATTTTTCGTCCTATGGCGGACGTATGCGGGTTTTTGCGTGCAGGGGAAACTCAATTTGTAAATAAATAGCGTACGACGCCATAACGCTCTAAATAAAAATACATGAAAGTTTTGAAGTTAGTCATAGGTAGAAACTCGAAAAAACCGGGCCACGATTCATTAATGGTTAAAATTAATTAATTCAAATTTCTAGTAAATATTAAAATGTAATTTTATTATAGATATTTAAGAATTTTAAGGATTTTTTTAACAAATTAGACAGACATTACTTTAACATTAATTTCAACTAGGGATTATTAAATAAAAATTTATTTTTGTTATAACTTTCGAGCTATAATTTACAATTAAAAAAATAATAAACTAATTAATTGGTGTATAATTAAGATAAACATTTTAATAAATTAAAAATTTATTTACTTGTAAAATAAATAAAACTACACTTTCTTTATAAATTTTAGCGTATTTACTTTTTTTTTATATTTTTATAATTTAAGATTAGCTGTTAAGAATACATACCTATAACAAAATATTTTTATCAAACTTCTTCAACTCGATCAGCGAGTCACTTCTTTTTGTCTCCTATTATTGTCCCTTAGAAAATTCCTAGGGTAAAAATTCTAACACGTGTGTCATCAAATGCGCGTCAAACACATTGTTCTGGGTTGCTTGGGACATCTATATATTCAATTGATTATAAGTATTTAGGCTGCATTCAAAAATACTCTATCTCTAGACACATTATTAAGAAATGACCTTGTTTGAGTACCTCATTTGAGTACCTATATCAATTTTTCATATATATTATATGTATATATGAAAAATATATCAAAAATGCATGTGGGTACTCAAATGAAAGCTCTTGATGAGTTTAACATCAGGATGAGCTTATATCTCTATAATATAAAAACTAATAAATTTTTAAATATAATTTTTGAATGATGAATTTTAAGATAATTGGTTTTTTAAGAACATTTTTCTTTTTTAATTAGAATAAAATTGCAAGTGTTAAATAAATAGGCCAATAACTGGGTCTTTTACCTTGTAATGATTATATATTTTTAGTTAATAAAAGAGATTGTGATCGAAAAGTTAGAGAATATCTTTTTTAGATACGACAGTAAATAAATAAGATGTTTTTTAGCACTACTGCGGATAAGTGAAATAATCGGACTATTTACTTTCTACAATTATCTAGTAATACGTCTCTCATATAGATGTCGTTACTTTGCATAACATCTCAGAAATTAAATTACCGACTCGGCATTAAAAACTGACACAATTTATACAAATTTCACGAAAATTATTCAAGCATACATAAATTTTTGTTGATTTTTAATAAAAATTAACTATACAACTCCTTTTTTTATAAAATTTTTCCGTCCATAAAATTCCATTAAATTATAAAAACAGTTCTTTATAAGTATATCTACCCAACCTTAAGCAATAAATCCTCAACATACTATCAAGCCCATCAATATTTAATTAGATTGATAAGATGTTTATCAAAATTACTTTACTCCAACTTTAACAATGTCTGCCCTTCTAATTAATCATATTACTTGCGTAATTTTAGGAAAAATCCCAAACAATCTAATAAATATTCCCAAAACTAAAATCTGCGTCTAATACGCAGAAGTCCGCTTAGCGCTGCTGCACTTAAAAATCGTGCGTCACTCGTGAAGAAATATCTATGGGTTTTTTTCCCATAAATTATTAATATTAATCATTACTGGTGCTACTATTATTAATAACATTTTTATTATAATTAAATAGGCTTAAAAAATAAAAATGAACGTCGGATTGCACACCAAGGGAATCCAGGTGATAGCGTGTGTATAGGAACTGGATTAAACTGGATATAACTGGCTTAAAGCTGTTGAATCCTGAGTGTTCTGAGCACCAGTTACCATTTACCATTTACTTTACATGGCCAGTTAAAGAGAAATGGACTTGTCTTCACAATTATATTTATATTATATGACTTGTAACTTGTCATTTATAAATATATGAGTACAATAAAAATATATAAGCCGTAATATTCGGAAAGTGCTAAGCTTATGATCAAGATCTTGACAGAAATCCGACGAGGTCATTCTTTATCCAATGTTTTTAAAAAAAGTTTCTTCACAATACACAAAAAAATAATTAACTTTAACCAACAAAGTTTTTAAATTTTTTATTGGATTTAAAAAACCTTTTTTTTATTAAAGAAATTTTTATTTCAATTAATAATATTAAAAAAATATTTTTTTTTCATTGTAAAAAAATTTAATCACAATAATTATTTTATTCACTCATAAAGTAACTTCAATTTTTTTTTTTGGCTTCAAAATATTTA